TACCTGCCATATGGTGGTTTTACTTGTTTCAGGTGCAAACGTGGCAGTGACACATTTCCAGCACTCTCGTTTTATATTTCCCGTCAGGCGGCGTGTTTGCGTTTTCTTTAAATAGCACTTTACTGTAAAATATTCACGCGGAGCACGCGGCGGTTGACTGCTTCTTCTTTTTATTTTCGTTTGCATTTTTATTTGGTCACACTGCGCTGCGCAATTGTTTTGAATTGCAGCATGGAAATGTAAGTCGAGTGCACTAGAACAGCTGATCCAGGTGACTTCTGCTGCCGGATTTAGACTTCTTGAAGGCTTTTAACCTTGTTCAGCCACCTTTTCCCATTTACATTTCCTCTGAGTCCGCTTTGCACTAACTATATGGGTGTTTGCAGAAAAAATCAACAAAACAGTTAAAGGTGTGATGATAATGGAGTCTTCACTGGCAGCAGAGGGACTAGCATCCAAATTAAGCTACTGCTTTCTTACTGGTTTATTTAAGGTGCAGATGTCTGGGGGGGGAGGGTTTATTTTATTTTTTTCTGACCAACATCAATCCTTGTATATATTTCTCATACATGAACACGGGCAAAGGCGCTAACAGAGCTCATATTTTGAAGAGGTGCAAAGACACAGTCTCGAGTTCCTCTCTTAAAAGCTTCTGCGTGTTTATGAGCTCTGAATTTGCTTTTATCACCACCTCATTTGTTCCTCTCTCCTCATCTTTCTGCAAAAAAAAAGGGAAAATGCGAGGTTTTTTTTAGTCTCGCAGCACCTCAGAACAACACAATTCACGTTTCAATGCTTTTTGAACTTTGGATAAACTAAAGGGATATCTGGCATTCTTGAATTTTTGGGAGGATGATTTATGATGTTTATTTTTAATCCTCCTATCATATGTATACAAAATGTTTTCTTTGTTAAAGAGGTGTTGTCATTTGTTTTATGGTTCGGAGCTATTCCTTGCTGGATCTGTACTTGTATGGTCCCGCCTAGGAAGTAATTTCATGTATTGATTTGTTTTCTTGGGACAGCTGGCATGTTATACAAATATGGAAAAAAAAGGAATAAGAATCCTCAAAAAACAAGATAATGAAATTTATAGATCTGTGTAACTTCCCTGCTGATTGTTCCACTCCTTGGTAAACTATCAAAATACTGTTGAAAATGTGTGGAGCTTTTATGAGACTGCGTGTGTATGTGTGTCCCTTTGCTATATATCAATCATCCTCAGAGCATTACCCATTCTAATGATTGAATAGATGCAAAGAAATGTATTATATATCTTATAAGAAAGGCAGGATTAGCCAAAACTTGCCCAAATCCTTTGATTCTTGCAACCTAGAGGATAAGTTTTAAATATTGCCTTTGTTTAAAGTGTAGTGCAGGTGTATGTCTTTTAGAGAGATGCATTTAGTGTGTTAGTGTGATGCATAATGAGCGACAGGGCAGCAAGGTGTGAGTGGATCAGAGTTTTCAGATATGAACGCCAACATTAACTTTGAACTTTCTCTTTACCTTACATTTAAAGAAAAAAAAAAATTATATATAAACTGTAGTGTCACCTGATCATTGTGCATTGTCTCACACAAGGTCATTTGATTTATTTGGACACACAATTAACAAAAAAAGGGGGTCGAAGCCTCATTAGCAGCAGGGATGACGGGACGGAGATCAAGCAGGTTGCCAGTCTTCGTGCTTTTGTGGAGCTGAGTGACGCATAGACTGTTTTCGTTTTCTTTTTGTCAACGTGAAGGTGTCCAGATGCATGAAGTCGACACGGCTCAGGTGACATTTGAATGGAGAGGCTGCCAATGCTCAGAATGTAAAACCCCACAAACTTGCTATAAAAAAAGCATCTTTTTAACCCAAAAAATGTATTGTGTGTAACGCATCTTAATAACACATACCTGAGTCATAGTTTGTGCACTATATCGAAATATAGTATTATATGTATTTTATTTTTCTAAGGACAGAGGTATTATTCAGAGAAGGAGGACAGCGTGGGCAAAACCCGCCTTTTAGCTTTTTTTGCAAAAAAACGAGGGCTTGTTCAGTTTACAATGGCCTTACTTTGCGTAGGAGACGTTGCTTCACTCTTGTAGCACACAGCTGAAAGTTTTGAACAAATGTATTTTGCTTGAGATATTGTACCGAAGTTCTCTATGTGTATATGTATAGTTTTATGAATGTATTTCTAAACCCTAACACCGAGGAGGAGTGTAACTCTTTTTCGTCATCTTGTTTGCTATACTGTCTCTTCTGGAGACTTTCCGGGGACCCCGCCTGCACCCAATCAGGCGGCCCCTACTTTTCCTGTACTGTAATACTGTATGTCTTATGATTTGTGTTTTAAAGGAACAGCTCTGTGTTTGTAAACAAGCATGAATTCCGTCTGGCGAGATGCGGTTATTTTATTTATTTCAATCGCCAAGATGGGTTTTGAGCAGAAGGGTTTGCCCTCCCCCCGCCACCAACCCTTTGTCTATCAAGCTGATGGAATTATTATATTTGTATTTTGATCTAGGAAATATTTGCCGCATGGTTACTCTGATATTTGCATTTCTGACCTTGTATTTAACCTTTAATGATGGTTTGATCACGATGAGACCAACAAGCGACAGCGGTGGGGGCGATCAGACCCAGAACAGCATCCAGAGAGATGCAAAAGAACTTTTATGATTAAAAACACTGTTATCTTGCAGTAGCATGAGCCAAGCCTTACATTTTATGATGTTTTTCTTCTGGCAATAAACATTGGCTGTAGCATTTGCTGTCGTGGGCGCCTTCGCCCACGGCTTCACTCTCTCTCTCTCTCTCTCTCTCTCTCTCTCTCTCTCTCTCGACCCCAGAGCTGAGCATGTGGCGCCAGAAAGTGATTTCCGGTATTCGCCCAAAAAGTGATTGGCCTAATTTGTGTGAAAAATATATCGGACTTATTTCTCATGAATGATATCAAGTCATTTTGAGCCAGAAAGAAGTTCCCCTTCACAAGGTAGAAGCTTGAATCAGGTTTTTTGGCAAAGTGACTGTTATATTTCCTTTATATATTCGGGTAAAAAGTCTCATTGACATTAAAAATGTCTTTTTCAAGAGAGATCTGGCCGAGAGGGCGTCAAATACAACATCACAGTTCTTGAAACACACTATAAGGGACCAAAAGGCAATGAAAAACCAGTTATTTCTTTATTCATATTTGACCCCTTCATACATCTACAGTCTATTTACCGATATGAGTAAAGATATTAGACATCAAAGAAACTCATGGAAACATCAGAAATCACTTTCTGGCTTTTGGCACAACACTGGTATCAGTTGAGCTACCATAAATAAGATAAAAGTGTAACCATAAATTTAAGCGCTGGGATAAATTTAACAAAGCATGCAGTGCATTGTGATTTACTGCTGTATGACAGTAGAGTTCGTGATCAACAAGTTTAATTTTCTCTTCGACGTTGCATTCCAGACGCATGCATTCCAGGTGTTTGATTTGCCAGCGTTACAGCTGTCCATGAGAACAAACACAGACATTGCCGTTGACCTGACGGCCTCAGTTCGTTTGTCTTCATCCACGTCTATGTCAGCGATCACAGCACAAGTTTTGCTTTGTAACCTTTCTGTCCTTTTTCGCCGTCTGTCAGATTGTATTAGGGCCATAGTAGCTCCCCTCCCTGCTATCAAGGCAAACCTTATCTTATCAAGCCTAGGAAAGCACAGAACACAACCCAAACTAATGGTTTAACTGATATTTAAATTGACCACAATCACATTCCCAAAGCACATGTAGTAGACTCGATGCCTCTTTTTCCCTGCAAATTACGGATTCATCATCCCAGTTCAATTGGAATAGCTGTTTTGGTAAATGAGGGTTTGTCTTTTCTGAACAGGCCTTAAACGTTCCACCAAGAAGCAAAACGAAGGATAGCGTAGCTGCCTGGCTGATGAAAGGATGTGGTTTATGGCAAAGATGAAGGAAAAAACAAAACAAAACAAAGGGAGCTGTAATTTTATACCTGTGCTTTGTAAATGTTTTCTATGTGCAGTATTTGATAATGTAAAACTGGTATTTTTGTGGTTTGTACGCTGCAAAATTGATTACTTAAGGTGCACGTAGTTTTGTAAGAAAATAGAACCAAACTGAGGAGAAAAGGAAAAAAAACAATGGGATTCAGAAGCCTGTATTTGCATGCCCTTTGACATCTGGACGCAAAGTCAATAAAGTTTATTTGAATCACAGACATTCATTCTCCGTGTCTTCACTTTTCTAATGCAGGTCGTGCATTCTTTGTGTATCTTTGATGAATCTTTGTTCAAGTCACGTAAAAGAAGAGCTGCATTCTTTCCGATGGCCACCAGGGGGCACCTCCTCCCTATGGAAAAAGAAGTCAAACGTATAAAAGTCTATGAGGAAAAAAACACCATTAATGACCTCAGCAAACACCTTTCTCTTGGTTATATGGCCTCAGTTGCTGCTTTCACACATTTTTAATACAACAAGATGCTCATTTTTATAAATTATGGTCTCAGTTAGATTAAAATGGACAAAGAAGTAGGCCACACAACAAAGCATAGGAGTCAGCCACACATGAACATGTATGGCCACTAGTGGGCAGTAGAAACAAGCTTTATAGTATTACACAGTTGCACTTTTAGTTGATTTTGAGAGCCTACAAGGAAACCATTTACTACTGTTTAAGTCATGCACATGCAGAGCAACATTAATGTGTCTATACTCAAACTACCTTGAGCTTCGTGACCTTTGTGACCTGTACATGAGGCCAGAAAAAAATTACTAACAAACTTCCACAGTAGTATTAAACATCTGTGCAGCCACTCCTTTTTTTGTTGACAGCAGTCAAGCAGAATAGGCGATTTTCTGCAGAATGCAAACAATTCATGCAGAAGAATCGTGTGAACAGGCATTTGCGTGGTTTAATAGTGTAAGAAATAACGAAAAGGGACTAAAGACAAAGCCCAGCAATGAACACAACAAACAAAACAACATAAAATTTAACGAAAACAATATTTATTTGCATGTTTTCACGGGGACAATTATCATATGTCACATATACATTGTTAAATTTTATTGAAATTGTGTAAAGTGGGGCAAAGCATGTGGAAAAGAAAAACTAATATACAGAACATGTTGTTTAAGAAACATAATATACAGCGATATTCTGATAAAGAATTAAAATATACAGTATCTTGATCGACAAGTACGTACAAAGTTACATTCCTTTATTCGTTTTTATTTCACTGAAAAAATATTGGACCAAAAAAAAAAAAGTAGCCTGATCACAAATGGAAAAGCTCAGGTGAGGCCTTAGCGTCCACAGAGGTGGACTTGCATTGCCTTTCCAGAAGCTTTTGTTGACTGACAGATTTGCTGTTGCTGTGCTGGATGTGCTCTCTCTTATATAAATGTTGCTCTCAGTGGAGAAGGTGACTGCTGCTATCACACTGTTGTGAAATAAGTCCTTATATGCTGCACATAGGCACCTCCTATATTGCTGCCACTCACATTAAAAGCAGCATCTTACCAGCTTAACACAAGTGTCAAATAAAATTAAAATAACAGAAACACAGCATTTCCATAAGCATTCATCAGAAAAGGCAGATTTAGCAACACTTTTAAGAGAAATCGGGGCACAGAGATGGTTTGTGTGGGAGAAGCGTACAAGCATCAGCTAAAACAGATGTGACAGATTGCGGATGTACAATCGCTTTATGCTTCACGATGTGGTTTGGCCAGCTTGTTGAATACTCTCATCCCCTCTCAAAAAGAAAAAAACAAAACAACAGCTCACTGTTTGCCCCCAACGTAAAGGTGAGGCCGTTACAGCAAAACTGGAAACCCACAGGATGCCATCGAGCACAGACGTTCGAGACACACAAGGTGCACGTTTCTAGACGAGGAATATATAAAAAACAAAAACACATCGAAACACAAGTGCGCGCGATCAAACGAGTCAACCGAGATCACATTCAGAGCACATGTTTTACCCATTTTTTTTATTGTTTTTTTGTCAGTCTTTATCAAAGACTTTGTCAGAGGGAGAAACATTCAGAGAGACACATTCGCAAATCTTAACAAACATACAGTACAGTACATACAATCAGAGCTAGATACACATTCTTTTCATGCAATTCAGTGGAAACATCTGAAACCCGGCTGACCTTCACCTTGAAGTTTTCCGTTTCTACTCCCACTTCTCTGTTCACCTCCTATTTACAGACATTCAACGTTATTTGAGGCCACTAATGCACCAGGCAGATTCTTAACTGGAGGTGTGCGGGCGCTGATGACACTGCATGCAAAATTATTTCTTTCTTCTTCTTTTTTTATTTTTTTAAGTGTCCTACCCTTGGTGAAAGAACAGCACAGTGAAGACAGTGATGCTGGACTGCTGAATTGCTGTTTTTTTTTCTATTAATCACTAGTTAAGTGGTTGAACAGGAAAAAGCATACAGGAATACTGTCCACTTACAGTAAAGCTAGTGTTGATCTTTGGTCTCCCAAAATATGGTTTTGGACTTTTGACATTTGAAGATTAAAGATTCTAAAAGAAGCCCTCTAGATATTCAGATGAAGACATCAATATTACGGGCTGTGTAGGTAGGATTTGTTGCTTGAATTAAATATTGTTAGATGAGTAGAATTTCTAGATATATGTGGCTAAAAATGGTTATGCGTATTTGTCTTCTGCATGCAGCATGAAGGGACTATTAGGCTAGCCTAGCTTTTATATTTTTTAATGATTATTAAGTGAATTAGCAGCAGCTCATCTCACTTATGTGAAAATATACTTTTGAAAAGCTCTAGATCTCGAACTTGAAATTGGCTGAATAAAGTTGTAGCTGCTACACTTTGCAAATATGGCTGCTGTTAAAATGTAGCTATGTCTACGGTGGCCCTGAGAGGTCACATGCACTGCAACTGTAGAAAACACCAGCAAAACATTAACATTTTGCAAAAGCACCACAGAAGTTGATTAAAACATAACGGACATAGAAAAAAAAATTCTGACAAAACACAATGGACACTGTAGGTACATGGTTGCTGTTAGCCGTTTACTGTTAGCTGTTAGCCAAAAACATTTTTGTTGTGTTTTGTTTGGTTTTTTTCTGTTAGCTTCTCCAGTGTTTTTCTTTCCATTTCCATTGGGTTTTATTGAACTTCAATTATTTTTTGTGTGATTTTGCACCATTTTTCATTTTTGCTGGTGTTTTATTAGGCAGCAGTGTGTTTGACCTCTCAGGGCCACTGTATATATCATCACTAAATGTCGCCCCATCAGTTGGATAAATACTGGTAATGTAGGGCGTAAAGTATGAGCCACCTATTTAGGTTGCCAGATTATATATCTCGGTCTATTTGAGCTTTTAAAGCTAGGCTAACCCCAATGCCAACCCCAGTGCCATCTGATTAAATATGAAACAGTGCAATTCTGCAGCTGCTTGATACCCTCATAATGTTTCTGCACACAAGCTCTCTCTCATAAAGGCTGGGCAGAAAGAAAGCTCTGGAGTCCTAACCAGTGGCCTCAGAACCGCCTTGTCGTAGTCGTCATATGAAAAGGTCCTGAAGGCAAACATGGAAATCTGCAGAACATGGCTATGCATGAGACGGCAAGAGGAAGCGCGGCCAGAGAGGAGAGAGAGAGGTAGTAGTGGTTTCTCAAACCTTCTTCTTCTTCTCCACCTCAGTCTCCTCCTCCTCCTCCCTTGCATCAGAAAATGTTTAATGGAGAGTCTGATCCACGTCGTTTCTCTTCTCCTTTTGTGGGTCGTTGGCGCTCCATCGAATCTCAGATAGACAAGCTCATTTCCACACGTGCGCTGTCATGTGTGCCGAACTTGGAGCTGCTGAACCTCCCATTTGTTGACCACTGTATCCCATCATACCGCTGGTGTTGTAAAGATTCATGCCGGCCATGTGCTGAGTCATCTGAAGGGCACAAAATGAACTTTAGCAACGGATCCACTCCTCTCACAACTTTCAAAACCCCAAAAAACAAACACACACCTGACTGATGTTCCACTGTAGCTGCTGGGCTTGCTGGACTCCATAAGTCTGCTGCTGGGGTAATGCGGGCAAACCCCCAACCTGCTGCTGCTGCCCCATCATCCCACTTTGTTGCTGTCCTATAATGCTGTTCTGCTGCTGTACCATCATTCCAGTTTGCTGCTGTCCCATCATTCCTGTCATGTAGGGCGACGGCACAACGCCGCTAGGCTGAGCCGTGACACCCTGAGCGCCCATTAAGCCATTCTGCTGCCCCATCATGCAGTTCTGCTGAATTCCAATCATGCTGTTTTGTGGCACTGCCATCACCCCGCTCTGTTGCTGCCCCATCATGGCCATCTGTGATGTCATCATAGTGCCTCCCATTCCCCCCGCCTGGGCTAAAGAATGGTATGGACCATACGGGTGTGTTGGATATCCCATTTGGTTCATGTACAAGCCTGCTGAGAGCAATCACAGACACCAATAACGATGAGCAGACTATCACCGTGTCAACATCCAGATCTGGACCACATCTGACAGAAATCTTATAAACTCTTACCATGTGCAGCCATACTGCTGGCATGTACCGAGGGAGTGGAGGCGTACAGGGAAAGAATGGAGTCCTTGGATAGTTTCTTGACAGTGCCCTCCTCTGCTTTGGGTGCTGCGTCTAAGAACAAGCTCAGATTCTCAGGCACTGAGGCAGTCACTCTGCTCTGAGGCATGGTGCTGGAAACAGACTGGACAGACACAAGGCAAAGATGAAAGTCTGTCTGAATGTACGCAAATAAAAACTCAGCAGCTTATAGCATGTACAGTGTGTTGTCTACTACCGTGCTTTTTGTAGAGGAAGCAGGGGAGGGGGCTGCAAGGGAGCTGAAGAGATCCAGGGCAGAGTGTGCAAGGGCTGCGTTAGACACCACTGGGCTCTCATTACTGTCTGGAACACATCCTCCACCATTAGACACCACAGGGCTTGGAGCTGGGGCATCTAATAGAGGTAATGATGATAACAACCGTTTCAGGTATCCACGTTCAAAGCAGCTCATCTAATTAAGATTCAGCTTTCTGTCCTAAAATAGATGCCTGGCATGTTTATTTGCTTTTTAGGTGCAGACTTGCAACATAAAGCAGTTCTATATTAAGACAGCAGTTTCCTGGTGTGCAAATTTTTTGGACTCTGTGTTAGTGTAAGCGCATGCGTGCAGGTGCATAAGGCAGAATACCTAGTCCAAGCAGGTCTGTGACAGACTGGGAATCTGTCTTTGGGCTGACGTCCTTTTTCTGTCACAACAGAGAAAATCAGTGTAATTAATGCAACAATTCTGCACTGGCGAATGAGTCTGTCTGCCGATTCTTTTACTCTTCACACTCACTAGTGGTATAACATGACTGTTCCATTCAAGTCACCACAATAAAAGTTACCAGCTTTTCTCTGCCTTTTGTTGACGCCTTTTCAAATACAGGGATGACCTGTATTTGATAATTAAGTTTAACAAGAATGATCTACAATATGCATCATCTGCCCAGATGCTAAAATGTTTATATCACTTCAATTCAATTTTATTTATATAGCATCAAATCACAACAGTTGACTCAAGTTGTTTTGTTTTGTAAGGTACAGAGTTTACAAAAATACAGAGAAAACCCCAAAAATCAGACAACCTCCTATCGGTGCCAACCAAGCACCTGGCGACAGTGTGAAGGAAAAACTCCCTTTTAACAGGAAGAAACCTCTGGTAGAACCAGGCTCAGGGAGGGGCAACCATCTCTGGCAACCGGTTGGGGGTTAGCTTTGGACCTTTTTTTAAAAATGTTGTTCAGGCTTGAAGACAGGGAGTGTGGTTGCGACGATTGACTACTACTGCATTAGACTTTGGTTGCCTCTTGATTTTTTTTTTAAATCAATTTAGCAACTTAACAATATAATAAACAAAACCAAGATAACAAAGGCCAGAATGGAATCTCTGGTCTATGATATGAACATGGAATGATGCACCTACCAATTTCATCTTCTCAAATACAACTGGCTCCTTTGGGATGTTGTCACAACTCTTTTCTTTCTGCACAAAGAAAAGAAGTGGTTTGGTTTGACGACACTCAAGGTTGGTCGAGGGTAGCAGGAAAGTAAGAGAAATTCACTCTCCAAACCTGTTCTGCAGATTCTGCTGGAGACACAAGAACAAACACGTGGATCTGTTTGTGTGGACTCACCCTGAGCATCTGGATGTCAATGACTTTATCCATGTATTTCTTCTTTTCGTATTTGTCCCTAATAAAGATCTCGGCAGCCTGGTCTGTCTCGGGACGCTGGAAGCACTCGGGTAAAAAAGCCTCGTAGAGCCGTTTGGCCTTGGCATTTCCCATCTCTTGAACACACTGGGGATACCAACGGAGAACAAAAAAACTGACACATTGCAAAGAAATCTAGTAATGTTCAAATGCAATATCCAAGGTGTCCTTGTTAAAGTGCGGTTATATGAAAAAGCAGGATTCTTACAGTGAGAGCTGTAGAGAACTAAAGAAAAAGTGCTGACCAAAGAAATCCCCTCACACTGAGAAGCATCACGCTGACTGTCTTGTCTATCAGACCAGACGAGATGAGCTGCATACTAAAGAGAAAGAGGCTACTCGGAGGTGGAAAATCGTCAGTTATACTGTATGTGAAAATACCAACTACCAGATAAAATAAGCATATATACATAGAATAAAATTACTAAATTACAAAAAATTATATTGTTGTTTATTTTCTATCCATCTCTATATTGCATGGAAATCTATTTTATTTAAAGGTTTTACTTTCTGAAAGATTTTCACAAAAGAAGCAACAGCTTAGAATTTTGGGAAAACAGGTGTTTTCTTGTTAACAGTCTTATGCAATGAACAATACCACCTATTTTAAAATTTAACTTAAAAATCTAAAGATATAACCAGCACATTTCATTTGTGTTGCTTTACCATAAAGACTCAAAACAGAGTCAGCCAAACATGTCTGACCATTTTAAAACAAACTCACTGATTAACACAATAATCTTATTTACTTCAACTTTTAAGTAACCAGTTTAAAAGTGAACAGTAGTGTTTTTTCTCGATCTTATGCTAAGCTAATTGATTGATTGTGATTTGGATTATATCCACAGTATACCGCCCCCCGCCCCGCCCCCCATTACACATGTTTTACTGGGTCATAATACATCCCCTTAGTTTATCCTCTATCTGAAATAAGCTGTCTCTTTAATGTGCCACTCCTTAATAGACAACCTTCTTCTGATTGGATGCCCCTCACTTGGCTTCCACAAACAGAACCCATACCTTGTAAGCCACCTTCTAGTCTGAAATGACCATACAAGGAAATTTGAGCCAGGCTAGTGTCAGTTAAGCTAATTAGAGAAACTTGAAAAACAAACAGACAACCAAAAAACAAATAAGAAAGCCAACATTTATAGCGTTTAATAATCAGGGACAGTTCAAAATATTTAACCCAATATTTAAAAGCTTTTGGGTTTTTTAGTGGTTATGAAACTTTCATAGTGAAGACCACTGACCTGGACTTGCTCCTGCGTCCACTGATCCAGGTTGACAGACTTGACCTTGGAGATGTGAACCCCCAGGTTTCGATGGATACCAGCACAGCGGATACAGATGAAGATGCCCAAATTCCAGGATGCCCATCGTGGACCTGGAAGAGCAACGGGGGGAATGAAATTTAGAGGAGAGGAGAGAGTCTTCGCAGAGGAGCGATGCAAGGAGGTGGTGATAAGCCAAGCTAAACGTATAAAAGAGATTTAGGTTAAACAAGAAAGAGGGCTAAGTGAGTAGACTAGAGAAACATGAGGGAAAAAAACAATTAATTTTAGACCAATTATAAAGAGACAAGTCTGAAACCTCAATTATGAGTCTGAACTCAGCAGGGAGCACATCTAATCCTGTGTAAGTCATGCGGTGGCCTAACACATAACAGGATCCAATACGAGAGTTAGCCTACATAACTGAGAGGCGAGAGGAGGAGTACAAAGTCCCACAAACACGCACCTCACACACACAAGCAATCACACACACTCAGGGCCTGGATACCTGCAGGGATGATTACTCATTTGATCAAGAGCCTGTGTGTGTGGGAGCACTGTGATCTGAGCCAAACGTATGGATCCACTCAGATTTTGTGGAGACCTGTTTATTGCTTATGCTGCATATGTTTTAGCTTAAAAGCATGCTTGCAAATCTTTCTTCTATATTCAGAACATAAAAGAAATAAAAACATCATAGATGAGATCGTTATTTATTTATTTTTGCTCAAGATATGCAACCATCCTCTTTGGGGACTGCACTCAGCTTCAAAGATAATATTTGTGCTGTTCTTACATCTTTACCATATCTCCCTCCTCCTCTTTCCTTGCCTCCATCTCTTTCTGCGACTCTCTGCCTCCACTTCTCCAAACCATCTCTGCTGTGAGTCCCTGCAACCCTGCTGCCACAGGTCCGTGCACTGTGGCCTTCACGCCACTAGGGGGAAGAGCAGCTTTTCGATTTGGATTTCTCCTCTTCTGGCAGATAAAGGCATTGTGCAGAGCTTAAGAAAAGGCCATTCTATGCAAATGAAAGGGGAAGTCGAGTTTGAGAAGGGAAAAACATGCAGCGCCTTCCTCTTTTCCTCTGAGAAAAACACTGCAATGAATAGGCTCCTTCTTGAATCCTACTAGAATTCTGTTTGCACTATTAAGAGTTAGTTTTCAGTTTTCTCCATCTTTTTAAACTGCGAATCACAAATGCAAAAAACACCATGTGCACTGGTCTTCCTCACTGTCTAGCTGCAGCATTAGCTGTCTACTGGCTAATAATAGTAGAATTACTCTGCAAAGCCTGCTTAGCCACTGTACACGCCGACACAGACACAGAGAAAGACAGAGACGCTGTCAATAGTGTTGAAGTCCCTGAACACTGGAATTAGTTTGTCCTTCTCATCTCTTATTCTAATGCTCCCTCTGTGCTCTAGCCGCCATTTCTTATCTTTCTCACTACGGCTGCCTCCCTCATGTTCTCCTTTGTCTGCTTATATCTCTTTCACACCAGTTCCATTTCTTCCTTTCTGTTTATTTTCTGCCCTCATGTTTTCTGCGATTTGTGGGAATGCTTTTTCCATTTGCATATTGAAAAGTTTCTCCTTTTTTTTTTTTATAGCAATGCACAGTTTTGACTGATGTCTCTACAAAAAAATAGGCGAGTCTATAATAACAATTAGATCAGCTGTCATGAAACATAGTTTAGGTGCTCCTGATGTTCAGAAGATGAATCATAGCTGACCTGACCTCTTCTCAGTCATCATTATGAGGCTGATGTCTGTGCTTTTAGCTGAAATGTCTTCGAAATTATGGCATGCGTTACAATAGCTTAACTTTGCTTTAACAGGCAGAGCCCAACCACTATACGTTTGTATATTTTCCCTTTAGACACACAAAACATAGATTTCCCTAACATCTGTTACGTGTAACTCTTTGTTTACTCATTTGGCCTCGTTTGTCTGACTCTCCTCGGATGGTTGTTTGGTTGTTATGTTGCCAGCAGGGAAGCTGTAGAGTGCCGTCTGGTAGACAAACTATGCAATGTAAATCCCCAAAAGTTGATTCTGTCATCTGGACGTAGCGTTTTCAGTGGGAGAAACGTTTCATCACTCATCCAAGTGACTTCTTCAGTCTCAGCTGACTGCAGGTTTCCCCAATCTTATAGACACCTACAGGCCAGTGGACACTCTTTCAATGATAAGGATGTACACATCCTGGACAGGGAGGAACGCTGGTGTGAGCGCAGAGTCATACGAAAAGGGAAAGACCATCTCTGAATCGAGGAGGGGGCCTAAGGTTACATCTTTCGCCATCTTACAATGCTGTGATTCCAGCCATTCCCCAACTCTGTGAATGGTACTCACGGCCATGGATCAATTGTCTTTGATCAATGAGCTTTGATCAGTGGTTGTTGATCAATGGTCATGAGAATTTGCATAATTATGATGAAGGTGCCCTCCCAGCCCATTGTTCCTTCAGTGGGCTGGTTTCAGTGATTTTGCAAATGTACGGTTTATAAGATTGGGGAAACCTGCAGTCAGCTGAGACTGAAGAAGTCACTTGGATGAGTGACCAAACGTTTCTCCCGCTGAAAACGCTACGTCCAGATGAACAGAATCAACTTTTGGGGATTTACTTACCTGGATGATATGCAATGTAAACATTGATAAATTAGTCAGGTTTGATCAGGAAGTCATAATGTGTAAAATGACAATATTCTGTTCAAGTAACTCAAAGTTGGTGGGTCCTTAGTAAACAGAACCCACTTTGAGCAGCCAAAAGAAGAAGTTTATTGGTGTGGCCCTTTACAACAGTCCCAGTTTCTCATGTCGCCCCTTGGGAAAATTAATTCCCAACCCCTGCTTAAGGGAGGTAGCCAGCCACCTATGTGACTGGAGCATGCATGTCCACTAGTAATTGACAGTGAACAACCTCACACCTTTTCTTTCTTGATTAACGGAATTACACTAAAATTCAGCTGTAATTTCTATTTATTGTCAATTAGGGAACACTTGTCCTCGCTTACTTCTGTGTTACACTGTAACACAACTCAAAACCGCACACCCCTCTGAAACCCTAAGATGTAACAAACGCCGTAACAAACTACTGGAGTGGACATGAGGGAACGGAGAAATATGTTTCTGTCATGGCTGGTACAGCATTCAAAATAATTAATAACACATAATGCACCATGCACAAGCATGAATACTAGTAACAGTGTTGGCCACTTACAGTGGCTTGCAAAAGTATTCGGCCCCCTTGAACTTTTCCACATTTTGTCACATTACAGCCACAAACATGAATCAGTTTTATTGGAATTCCACGTGACAGACCAACACAAAGTGGTGTACACGTGAGAAGTGGAACGAAAATCATACATGATTCCAAACATTTTTTACAAATAAATAACTGCAAAGTGGGGTGTGCGTAATTACTCAGCCCTCTGAGTCAATACTTGGTAGAACCACCTTTTGCTGCAATTACAGCTGCCAGTCTTTTAGGGTCTGTCTCTACCAGCTTTGCACATCTAGAGACTGAAATCCTTGCCCATTCTTCTTTGCAAAACAGCTCCAGCTCAGTCAGATTAGATGGACAGCGTTTGTGAACAGCAGTTTTCAGATCTTGCCACAGATTCTCGATTGGATCTAGACACCAGACAGGTCAGGGATAAAGTTATTGAGAAATTTGAAGCAGGCTTAGGCTACAGAAAGATTTCCCAAGCCTTGAACGTCCCACGGAGCACTGTTCAAGCCATCATTCAGAAATAGAAGGAGTATGGCACAACTGTAAACCTACCAAGACAAGGCCGTCCACCTAAACTCACAGGCCGAACAAGGAGAGCGCTAATCAGAAATGCAGCCAAGAGGCCCATGGTGACTCTGGAGGAGCTGCAGAGATCTACAGCTCAGGTGGGGGAATCTGTCCATAGGGCAACTATTAGTCATGCACCGCACAAAGTTGGCCTTTTGCAAAGAAGAATGGGCAAGGATTTCAGTCTCTAGATGTGCAAAGCTGGTAGTGACATACCCTAAAAGACTGGCAGCTGTAATTGCAGCAAAAGGTGGTTCTACAAGGTATTGACTCAGGGGGCTGAATAATCACGCACACCCCACTTTTCAGTTATTTATTTGTAAAAAATGTTTGGAATCATGTATGATTTTTGTTCCACTTCTCACGTGTACACCACTTTGTGTTGGTCTTTCATGTGGAATTCCGATAAAACTGATTCATGTTTGTGGCTGTAATGTGACAAAATGTGGAAAAATTCAAGGGGGCCGAATACGTTTGCAAGCCACTGTATGTAGGTCATAGGCTCTACAAAGATTCACCACAAAAGTCCAAATCAGCCTTTACATGCTAAACCGATAAACATACCCAGTAAAAATCAGCACCGTCACTGTTAGCATCTTGACGTTAGCACTTAGCTAAAAGCGCTGTTATACAGTTCAACTGAGCTGCTAGCATGGCTTCAGAGTCCTTTTTCCATACACTGCCTGTTATTTTTCTCCCCTCATGCGAAGATTTAATCTGCTTCCAGCTGGGTATTATGAATGTTTGGAGTCATGGTCCTCAGGTGTGCACCAGAGTGCGCTGATCCGGTGAGCCGGGGGAGCAGAAAGAGCACACAGATGAAGGCTACATTTAAGGCAGATCACACCTGCACACCACAGAGAAGCAGCCTTCTCTTGTTCCAATCAATGCTATGCTTGAGTAAGAACCCATATGCAGTGCGTCTGTCCGGCAGCACTGCACACCTACAGGTGCTTTGAACAGATATACAAGGAAGTAGGTGGAGGAGACGTCTAAAAAGGGAAGAAAAGATTGAACCAACGATCCCTATGAATCACTTTTTCTTTGTGGCTGGCATCACAGTGAGTGTAGACTGCTCCACCGTTCACCAGCAGCAGTGAATACATGTCCTCTTTTCTTGATGTGATCAAAAGAGCAAATGCCAACATCATTTAAAGGTCTAATTAAATTCTCCAGGTCTGACTAATAAGTCCCTTTCTCAGTTTTTACACGGAAAAGCATCCAAAAGCAGAGACAACTGATGAATCACCCTGGAAAAACTAAATAAATAATTAAATAAAAAAAATGGCTGTGGTCATGGTTGTGAAAC